ACAGGCTGGGGTACAGTGGTGTGATCACAGCTCACTGCAGCATCGAACTCCTGGGCTCTTACTCTTGTCTCAGCCTCCCACATAGCTGGGATCACAGATGCGCACCACGACACCCAGCTAATTTTTAAAAACATTTTTTGTAGAGATGGAGTCTCACTTTGTTGACCAGGCTGGTCTTAAACTCCTGGCTTCAAGTAATCCTCCTGACTTGGATTACAGGTGCTAGCCACCGTACCCAGCTGAAGATCCTTAACAACAACAGCTAATGTTTACTGAGCCATTATGATATGCCATTTAATGTGCTAGGCATTTTACCTGCATAATTTCATTTGATTCTCCCAAATCCACTGGTAGGCACTATTATTATATCTATTTTAATGATAAGTGCACTGGAACTTGAATCACTCAAGGTTACACAGCTGGAACATGGCAAATCTGAGACACACGTATAGGAATGTATGATGTCAATGCCCATGCAGTCTTAACTGCTAAGTCATATTACCTTTAATTTCCCCAAGATCATTTTTCTTATCTTTGGCTCTAGTGCTTCATCCAATACTGGATATGAAACTTTCTGTACATTTAGTACAGTTTCAGTATGTTAAATAGCCTTTCCAAAATTCTAAAAATAATGCAAAGTTAGAGTCAGATTAGTGTGGTAGATAGAGCTTGATCTTTAGAGCCAGCAAAACTTGGGTTGTGGGCCTTTGGGCAGGTTACCCCGTGAAACCAGTTTTCTTATCTGTGAAATGACAATTATGGTATGTATCTGTATATAGAATACTCAGTGTTTTGTAGACAATATATCAATAGTGACTATTAATCTCTAATGCGGAATCATTTGAAAACTGTACAATCTCAAAAATAACGCAAATGTTTTGAGAGTATATAGATTTGTTTTATTTATATACTTGGTAGCCTAATTATTCATTAATTAAAATAGTAATTTTTTCTTCAACTCCGATTCTCACTTTATTTTCATATTCAATGCTATTGGTTTAGTCATATGACTAAATTAAAACATTGCTTCTTACAATAGTCTAATACATTACTAATGAATAATTTAATACTAGTAAAGAGATTAATGAGTTCTTAAATTATAACAAATTACTATTCTATCACAGGTTACACTTATATGTAGCATAAAGCTAATTATGGTCATTTACTTACTTAATCAGTAAATTTTTACCAAGTGCCTATATGTGCCCGACACTGAACTATTTGCTAGATATTTAATATGAAAATACACCATCCCTACTCTGAAGAAATTACAGCCTAGCCGGAAGACATTCATGCCAAGAGGACCATTGAATCATTTGGAAAGCCAGTAAAAAGATACTACAATTGATATCAAAAACAAGTTGCTGAACTGGGGCAATGGCAGTGGGTTGAAATAGAGGGGGCATTGAATCTACCGACAATATTCAGTTAAGTAGAACTGATGGAATGTGATTTGAGATGAGATGCATATTTGGGGAGGGCAGAATATAAAGAAAAGGATCTAAGCTGACTCATGGGTTTGTATTTGATCTAGAGATACAAGTTGTAAAAATGATGTGCTATACAAAACTATTTTTTCCTTAAAATCTAACTCATGAAATCATCAGTGATATTTAAATCAATAATAGCAAATGTAAGTGATAATGATTTTAAGTAGAGGACAAAAAAAAATTAAAAAAAAAATAAAATGCTAACAAATGTAACGAGTTACACCACTGCTATATAAATTATCATCATCATGCTTTATGATGATAAAAATCACTGGAACTATATGCAAAAAATTTAGATTACTGCTTTATGAATAACCTTGCATTTTCAATTCTCTTTTGATTGATAGCAAATATCCAATCTCCCATGTCAGCAGTGGGTATTTAGAAGACATACCAATGTCCTTATTAACGTGAGACTCAAATATGCTTCTAAAAATTAACTTTGAGACTGGTGTCCCAGAGCCATTTCAGCAACTGTGTGTCCAGCTTGCTACAATTACAGCAAAGCCACATAGCAGGAGAAAAGTTTATATTGCAAAGGGATATACCATTCTTTCTTGGTATTCATGGGGGATTCAGGATCTCCTTCAAATAACATAATCTGAGAATGCTCATGTTCCTGATATAAAATGGCATACAACATTTTTTTTCAAATATTTCCAGTCCTTGGTTGGTTGAATCCACAGAAGCGGAACCCACAGTTACAGAGGGCCAACTCTAGTCATTGGATCGATCTGCTCTTTAAAAAGCTATTTAGAGCTTCAAGTGCAATCTGCTTGCTGAACAAAAATCCTCAGACACAATCAACCACAGGATTTCAACCAAACTTCAAGTATTTTACAAAGAAATAATATAGTATTTATTCAAAGAGAATGAAACACCAGTTTCTAAGGGTGATTTAAGTCAATAAGTAATAAGCTAAATCTTTGTTAGGAATGCATTCTGGTGTGTGAATGACTATTGCCCTTTCAGAGAGCAAAGTGCACAAAAGATTCAGTGACCTTCTGACTTGACAGTCAAATAACTACCATTACAGTCAATGTAAGTAAGCATGGCTGACAATTTGCTAATTGGCCGCCTGTGGTCAGTCAAGGGTACTTTTGACCTTAATGAGAACGTAATCAATTAATACTTAGGGCAATAAAGACTTCTTACTGATTAAGTAAGACAGAAATCATCTTTTTCTAACAGGATTAATGCTACAAAGTGGCCAGCTTTTTATTTAATATATGGTAATCCTCTCTTTTTTGGACTCTCTTATTTAGCTAACATGGTAAAATTGAATTATGGAGGGTGAAATCTTTTGTTCAACTATGCTTAAAGCTTCTTCTTCTTCTTTTTTTTTTTTTAAACAAGCAGTGTAATTCAGATACTAAAATGAGAACATCTGGTGTTTATTTGAATTATATGATAATCAGCTGAACCTGATATGATCATGGAATCGAAAAACATGTATGTTTTCTTAAACCAAGAGAGTCCATATTGAAATTCTTAAAAAATAATGAAAATCACTAGAATTGTTTTTATATCAGGGTCTCTCTTCTGGCAACTACTAAGATGATAGTAGCTAGGATTCCAGAGGCATACAGTTTTCTTTTTAACTGAAAAGAAAGATGATACTATTGTCTTCCATGAAGATATTTTTTAAATGCTCTTAAAATAAAAATTTCTTTACGTTACAAGAGCAACTGTCATTTTAAGTCACAAAGTATAGTCTTCTCTTCTGTAGTGTGGTTGATATAAAGCAGCATCCTTTTAAGTGTTCTATAGAGTAGGTAAGCAGCCTCTATGCTGAAATGCAGCCATAATTTGTAGGAACTTCCAGAATTACTTTCTGTTTGCAATGCACACTATCTGACTTGGCAAAGGAACAAATTTATGATTTTAGGTTAAAAATTTATCATTTAGACACAGTGACTAAAAATTTATAATTCTCTGAGATAAGTTTTCCTTTTTAAGGCTTTTGCAATTCATTTGGCTCAGATGATACTTTTGAAAATGCATGTATTTTATATAGGAGAGCAGATATGATTCCTTTAAAAAATAGTTGAAAAGCAACAGCTGTGTATCTACAATAACTGTTTCATGACGCTTTTAATACAGATAAATATGCAAATATGTCATACTATTTTTAATACACCATTTTCACACAGCGTAGTGACTGAAAACAGAGCAAACATTCTGTGTATTTAGATTCATAATGAGAAATACACACCACTCAAAACTGGAATTATTGTCATGTTGTAGCAAGTAATAAAAAATATGGTTTTGGATGGTAAATAAAACACTGCTAAGTCATAACAAGAACACTGACAAAGTCCAGGGAGTAGCTGTTCAGATTCTACTACTATGTCATCAGTATTGTTTAAAAAACTACAAAGCACTGCTCAGATTCTCTGCTGATGGGATAATACATGTTAATATCACAAACAATAGGTAATTTTATGTAGATTCTAGTTTCTGAAGACAGGGCCAATTGGGTTTTATAATTTAGATAAGTAATTCAAGTAGTTAAATCAACTTACATTTCTTAGTAGAACCATATGAGATATCCATAATGGAGTTAGAATTAAGTCCCATGGGTTCAACCGAACCTCACTATGCTAAGGTTTCTTTTAATATTGCCCACAACGACTTTTTTCCATATTTATTATGAAAAATGTCAAATACAAAGCAGAGTATAATAGGGGACATCCACATACACCACCACCATTAACATTTTACTATACTTGTGATATCATATATCTCTCTACTATATTTTTTTCTTTTAGATGTTGACTACTTTTATTTTTTTAAAATAGTCTATTTTGGGAGGGCAGTTTTAGGTTTACAGAAAAGTTGAGTAGAAAATGCCAAGAAGTTCCACATCACCTCCCAACCCCTCCCCATAGTTTCCTCTATTAACATTTTGGATTAGTGTGGTACATTTGTTACAATGATGAGTGTCTTAGTCCATTTTGTGCTGCTACAACAGAATACTACAGACTGAGTAATTTATTAAGAATAGAAAAGAATTGGCTTACAGTTTTGGAGGCTGAAAAGTCCACTATAAAGATGCCACCATCTGGCGAGAGCCTTTTTGCTGCATCATAACATGGTGGGAGTCATCGTATTGTGAAAGGGCCAAGAGAGGGTGTAAGGGCAAAGAGGCAGGGGACAGGAGTGAACAAGAGTGGGATAAACCCACTACTGCAATAATGGCATTAATTCATTCATGAGGGTGGAGGCAACAAAGTTGAATTAATGATTACAGATCCTACCTCCCAAAGCTGTTGCAATGGCAATTAAATTTCAACATGACTCTGGAAAGGACAACCATTCAAAACACAGCATTCTACCCATCTACACAAGGAGCAGTATCGAAACAAATTTTTTTTTGAAGTATTCCATTTCCAACCTTTCAAAAATTTTTTTTTTTTTTTTTTGTGAAAGCGCACACTTTATTGAGAAGCAGACTGCTGCGCAGTGACTGACAGACGAATGGGCACTTACACATTGTACTCCAAAAGACACAGGATGTTTTGCTAATAAAAACCAATGGGAACAGGGATTCCTCTGGGCAACTCCCCAACCTCATCTCTTTCAGGGATTGACAAATTTCCCATTTTCCTGATGGCAGCTGTGGTTCACTAGAGATAGAGCCCCTCAGGGGTGCCTTCCTGTTTCTTATAAAGAACATTTTCTTTAGATTTTTGAAGTCTTCATTTGTTACTTTCATTCTACATTCTCTTAAGGCCATCAGACCACCTTCTGTACAGATTGCCTTGATGTCAGCACCAGAGAGGTCATCTTTAGCCATGATCAGGTCGTCCAGGGTTACATCATCGGCCAGCATCATCCTGCTTGTGTGAATCTGAAAGATGCCCTTCTTAGTCTTTTTATCGGGCAGAGGGAACTCGATCTTCCTGTCAATGCGGCCTGGTCTGATAAGTGCTGGATCCAAAGTTTCTATTCGGTTTGTGGCCATCACTTCCACATCTCCCCTACAATCAAATCCATCCAACTGGTTCAATAGTTCCAACCTTGTTTCACTGAATTTCTCTCTCACCACCAGAATTTGAGTCATATCTTTTTGTCCCAATGGAGTCAATTTCATCAATAAACACGATGGACGGTGAATGTTCTTCAGCAACTCGAAACAGTTCCCGTACGAGTTTGGGCCCATCACCTAGGTACTTCTGAATAAGTTCAGAGCCAACCACTCTCAAGAAAGTGGCTGAGGTTTGGTTTGCTACTGCTTTGGCCAACAAGGTTTTACCTGTGCCAGGTGGACCATAGAGAATGACCCCCTTAGGAGGCTTTATACCCATCTCTTCACAATATTCAGGGTGGGTGAGAGGAAGCTCCACAGATTCCTTCATTTCCTGAATTTGGTTGTCCAAGCCCCCAGTATTGGCATAGGTCTCCTGGGGGGCCTTTGCCACCTTCATCACTGTGACCAGGGGATCCGTGTCATCCATCAGCACCTCTATCACGGCATGCACCTTGTGGTTGAGCAGGACTGAGCAGCCAGGTTCCAGCAGATCCTTGTCTAAAAATGACAGAATGCTGATGTAGTGTTCTGAGCCCACAGATGTAGACATGATGGCATGATTGTCATTGATGATCTCTTCCAAGGTTCCTACTGATATTGGGGTGCCCCTCAGATCATCCACTTTTGATCTTTCCTCCTCTTGCTTTTCTTCTAATGGTTTCATTTGTTCCTGATTTCTAATGAATTCTTCCTCCATGAGAAGGTAGTCTTTAATTCTCTCTAATTTCAGCAATTTTAACCGGCACTGAGTGTGAGGTGTCACCAGTGGCAATTTGCTGGCAGCATCTGGTCCCTTTGTTTTCTTCTTCTTTTTCCCCACTCTAGTCGGTACAGGAGGTTCATATTTCTTTTTCTTGTCCTTGGCATCCTTCTTGCAACCTCCAGGAACATGACCACCACTCTGACTTTGATCCATCTTGCCTTGGCCCCAAAATTTATACATTGATTCCATCTCAATGGCTCCTAAAGTCTTAACTCATTCCAGCATCAATTCAAAAGTCTAAGTCCAAAGTCTCATCTAAATAATCTATGGGTAAGACTTAAGGCACAATTCATCATAGGTAAATTCCTCTCTAGCTGTGAGCCCATGAAATTGAAACACGTTATATGCTTCCAAAATACCAAGGTGGAACAGGCAAAAGATGAACATTCTCATTCCAAAAGGGGAAAACAGATAAACAACATTAAATCATAAGGCTCCAGAATAATCTTTCTGGACTCAATGTCCTGCCTCCTGAACACACTAGGGTGGGGGTTGGGTCCCCTAGGCCTCAGGCAGCCCATCTCTATGGCTTTGCTGGGCTCTGCTCATGTAGCAACTATCACAAGTTCAATTCCTGGGGCTACCTGTTGGTGGTTCTATAGCTCTGGGGTTTTAGGGGTGGCCATACCCTCATGGCTCCACTAAGAATTTCCCTGGTGGGAACTCTGCAGTGGCTCCACTCCTGTGACAATTCTCGGCCTGGGCCTCAAGGGTCTCTGAAGTATCCTTTGAAAAATAGGTGAAGGTCACCACAGTACTAAGCTCATGCACTCTGTGTCTGCAGAGTTATCTCCACGTGGACACCAAGGTTAATGGGTCTACGTGTTCCTGAGAGAGGCGGCAGGATCACTGGTTTTGCTCTTAAGGTCCTACATGGGAAAGACAGCCTGGAAGATCTCCTCAATGCCTTTGGGTTGTTCTCCCATTGTCTTGATGAATAGCATTTGTCTTCCTTCTATCCATACTAATCCAATTTATCAAAGGGTACCTTGGCTACCACCTTGGTATTCTCTCCCAAGCAAGCTTTTTAATGTTTTATATGGCCAGGCTTCAAATTTTCCAAGTGGTTACATTCTGCTTTCTTTTACATTAATTATAAATTCCATCTTTAAATCACTTCTCTTTTCTGACATTTTACTATGTTCAGTTGAAAGAAGCCATGCAACGCTCTCAATATTTTGCTTAGAAATTTCTTCCATCAGATATCCTGGTTCATGGCTCTTAAATTCTGCCTTCCATAAAGCCCTTGGCCATGGACACAATTCAGCCAAGTTCTTTGCCACTTATAATAAGGATATAAGGATGGCCTTAACTCTAGTTTCCAATACCTTGTTTCTCATTTCTGAGAGTTTATTAGAATTGCTTTTACTGTTCACATTTCTTTCAATATTCTGATCATGAACAGTTAAAAAACCTCTAAGAAGTTTCAGACTTCTCCACAGCTCTCTTCTTCTGAGCCATTAAAAAGCAATTCACCAGAATTACCAGTAAGGTTCAACTCATGACAACATAGGCTTTTTCCAGCATTCACGTCAAAACTGTTCTACCTACTACCCATTACTCAGTTCCAAAGTTCACATTTTCAGGTATTTGTTATGTGAACCAAAAGTATTTGAGACAGGTCTCTATCAATTTAGAAAATTTATTTTGCCAATGTTAAGGACACGCCTGTGGCACAGTCTCAGGAGGTCCTGATGACATGTGCCCAAGGTGGTTAGTATACAGTTTAGTTTTATACATTTTAGGGAGACGTGAGACATCGATCAATACATGTAAAACGTACATTGGTTTAGTCTGGAAAGGTGGGACAACTTGAAAGGGGGGCTTTCAGGGCATAGGGAGATTAAAAAAAATGGTTGCATTCTTTTGAGTTTTTGATTAGTCTTTCACTGAATATACAATTCACATGTGAAGTGGCGTACAGAAATAGTCACTTATGTCTTAGTCTGGCTCAGTGAATCTGCACTTTGACATAAACAGTAGGGCACAGGAAGCAATCAGAGATACATTTGTCTCAGGTGAACAGAGGGATGACTTTGAGTTCTATCCTTTGTCCTGTACCTGTGAAGATAAGCTATCATTTTACATTGCCAGGGTGAAATTCAACTGTTTCAGGGTAAAAATCTTGAGGCCCACAAGGAAGTTCCTTGTGGGCAAATTATGAGGGAGGTTAGTAGCTTTTTAATTCTTGTAGCTATCTTATTTAAGAATCAAATGGGAGGCTAGTTTGCCTCAGGCAGTTCCCAGCTTGACTCTTCCCTTTGGCTTAGTGATTTTGGGGTCCCAAGACTTATTTCCTTTCACAGTTATAACAACTCTCCACTCTCTAATACCACTTTTCTTAGTCTGCTTTGTGCTGCTATAACAGAGTTCTTGACTGGGTAATTTATAATGAATGGAAATATATTAGTTTACAGTTTTGAAGGCCAGGAAGTCTAAGATTAAGAAGCCAGAATCTTGCAAGGGCCTTCTTGCTATATCATACTCCCACTGACATTATACTAGCACCTCCCAATGACATAATAGCAATTAAATTTGTCATAATTTTGGAGGGGACAAACATTCAAACTACAGCAATGAATCAATATTGATAAATTATTATTAAAGTCTATAGTTTATATTATAGTTTCACTCTTTGTGTTGAACTTTCTGTGAGTTTTAACTAATGCATAATGAAACGTACCCACAATTACAGTTTCTTAAAGAATAGTGTCACTGCCCTAAAAATCCCCTGTGCTCCACCTATTCATCCCTCATTCTTTCCTCTGGAACTCCTGGCAACCGCTTATCTCTTTACTGTCTCCATAGTTTTGTCGCTTTTCCGAATATCATAGAAGCATATAGCATGCAGCCTTTTCAGATAATCTTCTTTTAATTATCAATATGCACTTAAGGCACATCCAGGCTTTTTGTGGCTTGATTTTGGTTTTTAAAAAGAAGTCTTGCTCTGTCACCCAGGTTGGAGTGCAGTGGTGCAATCTCAGCTCACTGCAACCTCCTCCTCCTGGGTTTAGCCTCCAAAGTAGCTGGTATTACAGGTGCCCACCACCACGCCTGGCTAATTTTTGTATTTCATCATGTTGTCCAGGTTGGTCTTGAACTCCTGACCTCAAGTGGTTTGCCCACCTTGGTCTCCCAAAGTGCTGGGATTACAGGCGTGAGCCACCACACCGGCTTAATTTTTGTTTTCAATAATATTCCACTGGATGGATGTCCTAAAGTTTGTTCATCCTCTCATCTAATGAAGGACATCTTGGTTGCTTAAAGCTGCTATAAACATTCATGTATTGAGTTTTTAAAATAAATGTAAGTTTCAACTCATTTGGGTAAATACCAAGGAACACAGTCAGTGTATCTTATGTTAAGAATGTATTCAGTATTGTACAAAAGTGCTAAACTGTCTTCCAAAGTGGCTGTACCATTTTGCATTCCTACTAGCAATGAATGAGAGTTCCTCTTGTTCCATAGTCTCACCAGCACGTGTGATTGTCATTGTTTCAACTTTTGCTATTCTAATAGGTATGCAGTGGATTTAATACATTTTAAAGACATTTTGTACTTTGAAGTAAATTAACATTTACAGAAAAGTCACAAAGGTAACAAAGAATTCCTATATATCACTCAACCAATCTCCCCAATGTTAACATCTTAAATTATTGTGGTATACTTGTCAAAACTAAGATACAAACATTGATACATTGCTAGTCACTAAACTCTAGACTTTATTATTTCATCAGTATTTCTACTAATGTCTCCCTTTTGTTTCAGAGACCCATCCCGGATAACACATTGCATTTAGTCATATGTCTCCTTAGTTTTCTCTGGTCTATGACAGTTTCTCAGTCTTTCCTCATTTTCCATTACCTTGACAGTTTTAAGGTGCATTGGTGGGGCATTTTATCTCTCAATCTGAGTTTGTCTAATGTTTACTCAGGATTAGATCAGAATTACAGGATTTGGGTAAGAACACCACAAGAGGTGAAGTGTCCTCATCACATCATATAATGGGGTACATGCAATAAAAGTAACCTATTACTGGTGATGTTAATCCTGATCATTTGATTAAGGTGCTATTTATCAGATTTGTTTACCATAATGATGCTATTCCTCTCTTTTCATGCTCTATTATTTGGAAGGAAGTCACTAGGTCCAACCAATACTTGATGGTAGGGGATTATTTATATTTGTATAAGGTTATATATATGTATTTTATACTTTAAATTTTGTTGCTAAAATTATTATAGCTTTGGCCATTGGAGACATGTTCAGGATGGCTTTATTTCTACTTGATATGTCTCTAGCCTTTTATTTTTTTGAGTCCTTCCTTACTTTCAGACACTATAACATACTTCACGCTCATATGGTATCCTCTCTACCCCAGATATAGAATCAGCCATTTCTTCAAACAGTCCAAGTTTTTCCTATTAGGGTTTGGTGTTTTGAAACAAAGTCCAGGTACTAGGTGTGATTGCTGTCACTGGTGTGTTACTACAATGATTTACTTATCTTTGAACTAAAATTATAACATTCGGAGGTATAATTTGAAAATTTGACTCTTCTTAAATTTAAATACCTGAGAGGAGTTAGGTCACAAAAGTATCTTGAACTGTTCTATTTAGCAGCTTAGAAAAATCATATCACGGTCAAAAATATTTTTATTTGTGATTTTAACCTATTTCATTTGGACCTAAAAAATAAAATACTCTTAAAAATAATCTTAAAAATTATTTATTGCTGGGCATGGTGGCATGTGCCTATTAAGTAGCAGCTACTTGGGAGGCTGAGGGAGGAGGACTGCTTGAACCCAGGTGTTTGAGGCCATAGTGTGCAATGATAACTCCTGTGAATAGTCACTGCACTCCAGCCTGGGCAATATAGCAAGATCTCATCTAAAAAAAATAATAAGAAAAACAGTATTATAGAAATAATTGAAGCATCAGGAAATAGCTGTAAACACTCATGTATCTATTCAGTTTTCTGTAATCTGGAACAGGCATATTAGTGTAGTATGCTGGTAGTTTTATTTTTTCAGCTAAAATACTTTGTCTCTTGGTATAATTCTCTAAACTGTTTTTCCTTTTATGCCAATAAATACCTTTACTTGGTCTTTACATTCTCAAGGTAACAAAAATTAATTCACTAGTTAGGTGATATTTGGGA